CTCCCCTTCCTCCTCTCTCTCTACATCATAAGACAATTGATATTGCTCAATAAGCTGAATTATCCAACTAAATATGCAGAAAAGCAAAAAAGCAGTTAGATGACAGCAGAAAAGCAGTTAGATGACAATGAAATTTCATCATTTATTGAAGAAAATAGAAACAGCAACACAACAATGTGCCAATTCCCTTCTGTATACTTCCTTATACCTGTATACTTCTATCACGCATCTCCCATAAATAAATATCCACAAAATTTGTCTACACTGAAACAACAATTTGGCATGTTGGTTGATAAATAACTTATAAAGATGTGTTGGTGTGTCATGTCACTGAGTATGTTTTTACTCATTATTTGTATTTATTTGCCCTTAAGGTTCATTAAAATATAGTACAACTTGTAAAAATACTCAGCGATACTACACATCAAAACGTCTAATAAGACATCTTTCTACACACATCTTGACTGGTTCTTACTAGATATCTATTAGAGAACAGTAGTGTACAACATTTAGATGATGTCACCATAAACAGTATTTTGCTTTTTCATTGCATTAAACAAATAGATTCCATGTCGCCATTGGTCTGTACAGTGATAGATCACAGAAGATGTCAACATGTGGTCAGAACATCACTGACACCAGGGCTCCACTCTAATGGTAGCCAACTAACCACAGACTAGTAAAAATTCAGTTTTGGCTAGTGGTTTTCAATTTCCAGTGGCCAGTTTGGCTAGTAAACAAACTGAAATTTTCATAATATCTAAGATGTCACTAGCTACTTGGCTAGTTGGATGAAAAGTCAGTGTTGAGCCATGGACACACTCAGCTGCACCTCCTTTGCCACTTTTTTGTTGTTACCACATTTTGCCATCATATGTGATCTGAACAGATGCACTGCAACATGGAATCTCTTTGTTGAATAGTTCATTCTTCATACCTAAATTGATTTAAATCCATGATTATTTTTTCAGAATCACTTACTTGGTAGAGCATACTTTTGTCTCCTTGAAGGAGATAAGATGGAACAAGCTGATGCACAATTTAATTTTGTGTTGGCACAGGTATGAAAATTGAAATTGTTCATGATAGAGAGCCAAATGTAATATCAGTTAAGTGGGAAACATGTTTTAATATATTTATTGGCAAACAGTGACTCTCTGAAGGGTGAATCTTCATAAAATCTTTTCAAAAATTGATAATTGATAGACTTTCAAAAAGAAATGCAACTGTACTTATCTAAGAGACCTTTTTCTTTTTTTTTTTTTAATCAACAGTCTGGAAACAATATCCCAGCTTTACTTGGTAAGTACAGGAAGCTGGTATTTGTATGTTTCCTTTAAGGTTTTTTACTTTTTGTTTACCCTGTATACCCTAACATCAGTGTACAAATTTGTTTAAGAATCAAGAGCTTCTTTATTTGGTAATCATTTCCTTTATTCTCATGACCTAAATGTTTGATTCAGGGCTGATATTGTTAGGTGAAATTAGATGCTAGTCAATCTCAGGGGTCAAATTTGGTTAAGATTTTACTTTGAAATAATGGTAAAATTGAAGAACAGCTCCCCAAAATATCTTTTGGCCGACTGTCAGCCGACTGTTGGCGAACTAAACACAGAAAACACAATGAAAACAAATTCAGACACGAGTAAATAGACTGTCATCTTGGTAAGTTTGAACTTTCACAATTACCTCGAAATGAATTTTGATGAACACCACGTGATAGAGGTAAATTTCAAGTGTGAGGCATTATTGGCGATATCGAACGTCATTTATGTGAACTTGATGTGTATTATCTGATTGACACATTTTGTTCCATTACTTAGATTTAGCAATATGAGTAAATTTTTTGAAAGACTCACAAAATTGCACAAACCTGTGATTTTGTTGTGTTTCTGTTTGTTTTTGTTGTGTTTTCTGTGTTTTGTTCGCTGACAGTCGGCCGACATATATTTTGGGGAGCTGTTCTTCAATTTTACTGAAATAATGGTACAAATACATGAATGATGAGATTCAAGGGCCTGCATCCTGCAAAGTGCAAATGTACAGGTATTAATTTTAATGTCTTTTTTTTACTGGGACAGGAAAAGCCTGCATCTCTTTTAACAAAAGGGATTACAAGGGCTCTTTAGCCTATTACAAGAAAGCTTTGAGAACAAATCCAAACTGTCCAGGTATTATGGACAGTCATTGTTAAAGACATCTGTTTTGTCTTTTTTCCCAGTGCACAGTATCTATTATTTATGTAGAATAACCTATCAAAGATCTTTTAAAATGTGGTTTAAAAATGTATCACAGGAAGTGTGACCTGTTCTGAGGTTTGAGATATAACACTGCAGAGTTTCACTTTAGTCTAAACATTTAATCTTTGGTCTGTCACATATTTGAGTGGAGCCTTGTACATTGTTCACACCAACCTGCAAAATAACCTCTTGATTATAATAGCACAGAGAAGAGGTTAATTTTTCTTACTCTATGTGATTATGCATGTGTGATTACTCTCATTTTATTTTATTATCATAATGGTTTTGTTATTCATGCTGGAAACACAAAATTAACGTAACAAGTCATGTGCATGCTGTTATTTTACTAACATGTTGCTGGTATGAACCAGAGATGCGTGTGCATGTACCTGAGACAATTTTTTCCAACTTTATCAGTAACTTTCCACCCATCCAGGGTCCCATTTGCTACAGATTTTGTTTCAACACAGTGTTACAATTTTATATACTGTATGTATCCAGAATAATCTGGGTGACTGCCTTCTACTCCACAGCCTCTGTTCGTCTTGGGATGGGTCACTGCTTTGTGAAACTTGGAAAATTGGACAAAGCAAGGTACACTGAGCCATGAATTAAATTTTTCATTAAAAAAGCAAGGTTTTGTTAAGGAGGACACATACATCTACAATCTACGACAAATTTTTTGACAGAATGATTGATCTTTCCAACCCCTTATTGATTTAATAATATTTTATCTCTTTTTCTCTCATTAAGTTAACCTGTTTGCTCCCTTCCTCCTTTAAACAATGTTGTATTGTGATTCCATGAGAACTTTTAGCCAACATTGAATGGGGGAGCAACATTGAATGGGGGAGCAACATTGAATGGGGGAGGGTGGGGGGGCTAGTACTTATTAATTTTATGGTATGGTATAAACATAGATAAAACTCTTGAAACATGGTGTGTCAACTAATTGTGATGCTGATTGCGGCTTCATTATTTAACTCCAGTGTAATCTATCGGACCTGGCATTGTCTATTTGACATTTGATAGATTGCTTTGGAACATTGTTGTAACTTTGTTAGGTAAAATGTTCTGACTGTGCCTTTTTCCTTGGCCATGATTGCAACTTTAAGGGGAGAAAACAAACAGCCTCTGGGTGGGAGGAAGGCAGGTGATTAAAAGAAATTTTTTCACTAAGGGCGTTAATGATAAGAGAGAGGAAGAAGGGTGGAAAGAGGGACAAAAAAATAATAATAATATAGGTCAAAGAACACAGGGAAAATGTGTCAAGATGTTAGAAGTGGTTGATTGGTTTGATTATCGTCTATTCAATGGTTAGAGTTAACAACCAACTTCCTACTATCAGTTGTAATGTTCATGGGATTTCTTTGTTAACTTGTTAATGCAAGTACATTTAAATTTCCTTGATGGCTCATTGATCTTACTAGCCTGAGACTGTGTTAAATCAGATTGGCAAACAAATCATGATGTGCTTGTTCCATCCTAGACTGGCATTTGAGCGAGCCCTTACTTTAGACCCACTGTGCACAGGTGCTATGACTGGTCTTGCCATTCTTGAACTCAACTCAAAAAAGGTCAGTCATGTTCCAATAATGCTTTATGCACATACACGTTCGTGCTGTTCATTTGGCACATGCAGAATGTATCCTACTGCTTTGAAATTTGATAAAATGTAGTTGCTTCACATTTTGAATTATTCTCACAACTGAATAAAGGCTGATAGTTTCGAAAGAAACTGTTTGGGGCTGCGTCGGTGGGGGTAACGAAATAATTTGGATATATCAACAAAGTTGAAATGGTAAATTGGCCACCGTAACGATTACAAAAGCTGAAGTTTCGAGTGTTAGCCTTTCATCGGAGCGTCATTCGGAGCATCATTCGCTCCGACGAAGGGCTAACGCTCGAAACGTCAGCTTTTGTAATCGTTACGGTGGCCAATTTACCATTTCAACTTTGTTGATATATCCAAATTGTTCTCACAACTGTTGTGTATAGATGATTATTTATGACTCTACTTGACTAAACAATAAAAACCACCCCATCACACTCTCTAGCAAGGACATTGGCCTTCTTTCAGTCAAGCTCACTGTAGAATGTTGCCTTTTGCTTGCTATAGTTATTTTTTATGATATTGGTTATTCTTATACAATTATTGTGTATTTGGCTTTAGATGGATTCCATCAAGAATGGTGTGCAGTTGCTGTCAAGAGGTTATGCTCTGGATAACTCTAACCCCATGGTTCTCAATCATTTGGCCAATCATTTCTTCTTCAAAAAGGTAAGAGTTCTTAATGTTATTAAACGCAAGATTTGATAGAAAAGTTGGAGTCCCTTGCTACAACCAAACAAGGCAGATGGGTAATCAACAACTTCATACTCAAAAATGGCCCAAAAATGGTGAACGATTGTAAGCTTGTAACCTCAGAAGTGCCCGTTGTGCTTTACCAAGCCATGGCCAGCCAAACATCCAGCCATTGATTACTGCTTTTTCATCTGGTGAATTTCACCAGCAGCCTGCACTTAGTAACATCCCTGGTCACCTAACAACATTTTAATCCTGTGGAAAAGGTTATTCCTTGGATTTTACTTTCATGTAGTCATTCAGATTGTTGGATACCATAGACACTCCCCCTGGGTGGGTATACTGTACTTCAAGCAGGTTACCCAACAACCTTTCCACCAGATTAACCCATGAGCCTGGCTTTCATAGCTGCCCAAGCTTATCTTTTTTTTTTTGTTAATTAACATGAGTCCACCAGAAGTACATTTCCTCAGGGGTTCTAAATGCTGACCATTACTACAGATATGATCACCTTTTAAAATTGCATCTCTTGTTTTTTTTTTTTCTTTCCTGCAGGAATACAATAAGGTTCAGCACTTAGCTTTACATGCTTTTCATGGAACAGAGGTTGAAGCTATGCAGGCAGAGAGTTGCTATCAAAGAGCAAGAGTCTTTCATGTTCAGGTATAATGATGCTTGCTTGAATAATTAACACTCTCCTTTCCAATTTTTGTTGACTTGGTTGCAGTGTACATGTGCTTGATGGCTGGGTAACTTTGGTCTTGATAAAGGTATAATCCTGTAGGCTTATCAGATCTGGTTACCTACATAGGAATTAAATTTGTTCCTTCACTGTATATGTACATATCATTTATTGATGCTTTAAATGAGTTGTTAAGTGGAGATCTCAAGGCTTGAAAAATTCTGCCCAGTTGTTCAAATAGTCCATTTTACTGTTCTCTGTTAGTTCCTGAGTGCTTAAACAAGGCCAAGGTTTTACTTGTTGTGACAGAGATGTAAGATTATTCAGTATGTTAATAACATGAGTTAAAAAAAAGTGAGGCTTGTTTAGTAGAATGTCAGATTTTGCCACCCTCCTCTCCAAAGACTCCAGACTATTGTTCATTTGCAGTGCATTATCATCTTCTTCATCAATTTGGCCATCATTACCTTTTGAATGTTGAATTACTCCATCTTTGCTGTTTTTTAATTTGTTTGTATGAAATATCACAGGAAGCAGTAAGAGTATTCGTTTATTAAAACAAACTCACACAGTCTCTAGATCAGATTTTGACCATGCTAGCCTCAGGAAATTAAATTATTTTCAAAATTAGTTCGAACTCTTAACTATATTTGTATGTGTGCTTTTATTATAGAATGACTATGACCAGGCATTCCAGTTCTACTACCAGGCTACACAATTTGCTTCACCGAACTTTATTCTACCTCATTTTGGTCTTGGACAAATGTATATTGCCAGAGGAGACATGAACAATGTGAGTTGCCACTGAAACTAAACAAATTTTTTTGTGAATAAACTGGTCCTTGGGATCACTTGCTAAAAAAAAAAAAGCAACCAGTGATGTGTTATTTAATATACATGTATGTTTTACTGTTTTTAGTAGTATGTTTTTTATTTCTTGGTATATGTATGAAATGAGAAGTGTCTCGAGAGAAACAAGGCGGTTCTTGAGAGAAATGAGATGTGTCTTTCAAGACGTTTTCTATTTTTATTTTTATTTAGAGATTTACCATAAGGTAGGTGTAGAAACAATAGGACTCTGAGTCGCCTACTAGGTTTCTACACCCTGGAAACCCAACCCCATCCCATCCCAGGGGAGGACATCCACTATACAGTAATCTCATGCATGGGAAATTAACATCTCCTACCCCTAACCCTGCAGGAGATGGGACCTATGGTTTGTCTATCAAGACTAGTTTGCGTCTGGTCATAGACTTGTCTTGTAATAGATACTGTAAATTAAAATGTAAACTGTGATGCAGAGCATGTCAGCCATGCATGTGGACACCTGTATGAGCGTGTGAGTGGACACCTGGATGAGCGTGTGGGTGGACACCTGTATGAGCATGTGGGCTGACACCTGTATGAGCGTGTGGGCAGACACCTGTATGAGCGTGTGGGCGGACACCTGTATGAGCGTGTGGGCAGACATAAAAGAATGTTGTCTTTATTTGCCAACATTATCAGATTAAACACAGAATGTTGAAATACCACTGCATCCTTGCCATCATTTGAAATGCCAGAAAAATTCATTTTTTGTGGCAGATTTGATTACCTCATTGTAAAGGTGCTACTTATAGAACCAGCTTACAGCTATGCTATTTATTGTGGCTATAATTAAATCATTGATAATTAATCAACCTAAGCTACTCTTGCTTTTGGCACAATGATGACTCAAAAACATCCAGGAATAAATTTCCCTATAAAAACTTTTTCAAGTCTTCCTTGAATGCAATCTCTCCTGATTAAGAAATTAAACCCTGTTGTCTCATGAAGGTAAAAAATGTAGTAAAAAGGTTCAAAATGAAAGACAATAAATGTTAAAATATTTCTCAGTCGCCATTGCTGGGGTAAGACGCCAGTGAATTGATGATTATGCTGATAAACAAAAAGAGGTGAAAAAGCCTTACTTAGACCTTTAGACACTTCCTTTTCACACAAATATTGTAAAATGTAACTCACCTTACAGGCTGCACAATGTTTTGAGAAAGTTCTTAAAGCCACACCAGGAAATTATGAGACTCTTAAAATCCTGGGCTCTCTGTACAGCACATCAACAGATCTGGAGAAAAGAGAGACAGCCAAGGCAAGTATAACTTTGTTAATTTGTCAACTGTCAAATGTACTGTAGAAGTTGTTTTGCATATGATATTATATCTTAACAGTACATATATTTTTGTAGTTTATTTTTTCACACAGGTAAGTCCTCTGATACATGTGTGTTTACAAATGAATGAAAAATGAAACTTTCCTAAAATGACACACTTAAGCCTTAAACCCTCACAAAAGAGTCACTTGTAATTTCTCCCTGTGATCCCAATATGTTACCCCTCAAACCAGTTGTGAGAATAGACAAGCTAATCAGCTAGAGGATGTCATGTCAAAGTAATACCAAATTCCCTTGTCTAATTTTACAAGGACCTGTACGGCAAACATTAGGGAGAACTACTGATTGGATCTTTGGACTTAACCCTTTAATTCCCAGAAGAGATTTACATTTAACTTCTCCCTATAATATCCATATGTTAACCAACAAACAGATGACAAGAATACTCAGATTGATCAGGTTGAAATTGTTATCTTGATCTAAAACCAAAAATTCTTGTAACTTTTTTCCAAGGAAATGAGCAGCAGTTAGAGGGGAGAATTAACAATCAGATCTTGGTAGTTAAAGTGTTGAAAACATTAATGACCTAGAAAATATAAAACCCACAAATTTACGGTAATTATGGCCCTTGCATTTCTACTGTTACAGTATCTTGCTTCATGATAATGTTTTTTGTTTTAATTACAAGTTCATTTCAGTTGCATGTATACCAAGTAGTATATTGTGATGAGCATTTTCATTGTACATGGGAATGCTGTTTTTTATTATGATAATCTCCTTTATGCTTTACAGAATCATCTCAAGAAAGTAACAGAACAATATCCTGATGATGTTGAAGCATGGATTGAATTGGCTGGAATCTTAGAGCAGACAGATGTGCAGGTTAGTTGAAAGAGAACAGTGTATGGGAAGGGCTCTGCTGTTTCCTGTAATGTACCAGTAGAGTTGATTGATATATGTATGTGGGATTTCCCAACAGTTTCACTACATTATCCAGCAAATCGGCAATGAAAAAACTTTAACTTAGTAGCTGGGGGACAATAATCTTTACTGTTTACAATGCAATGTAAAGGAGCCAGAATAGAGAATTACTCACTTGAGCTTGCAAACTTTTAAGTTAAGCAGTTAACAAGAGAGTTGCATGTTGAGTATCTTTGAAATTATGACTTGGCAATAGCAAAGTGTTATAGTTTTTCATGAATATTCATACTGTAATTATAGAACTTGGATACTGGAAAAATTAACAGCTGCAAATTACATATATTTTCCCGAAAAAGTTTAGATCAGAATTTTTGTCAGGAAACTGCAACCATTTGGTTTCATGCATTGAATCAGGCCCAGAACTCAGCTGTAGGATGAGTGCAACTTTAATCTGTTACCTAGAACCCAAAGATTTTGACCATTTTTTAAGTTAGAATGATATTACTTCCACTAAATGATTTTAGGCTGCCTTGCAAGCATACGGTACAGCATCCCGGCTTCTCAAAGAAAAAGTGAAAGCTGATGTACCTCCAGAGATTTTGAACAATGTTGGAGCACTGCATTTTAGACTGGGAAATTTGAATGAAGCAAAGGTTAGTTTTAATCTGCTCGTTTTATAAAAGCTAATGATTTTTTTAGGTAATTGGTTGTTATATAATTTCAATCCACGTCTGATTTTGTCAACAGATCCAGACAAAACAAGACGAGTGTAAATGATTTCCCAAATTAAAATTTTCTTGTTGATGTTTTTTCCGAAAAAAAAAAAAAAAAAAGAAAACTTTTTCTGTAGTCTGTAGTCGTCAGTTTAACACAGAAGATTGTATTTCAGGATTAGATTGACATGAAACAACGGCTGCAATGGAGGCTACTTGTTCTATAGATCCTACACATTTTGCTGAGTTATTCTCAGCACTACCCCCAATATGAAAGATTAGACAAAGAGATTTTTGGCTCAACTGCAAATTACTAATCCGAACAAACATTATGGGCATGAAATGCAAAAAACTTGTCTGACACACAGGCGTGCTTTAGCCTCAGTACCAGTTTGGCTGCATGTTAGTCTAAAACCAGCCACATGTATATAAAAATTATTATGTACAATAAAGTTAGACAAAATCACAGAACCTGCGACATTATTTGAAAATACAAAACAGAACGCGAGGAAACTACAAGCAGGTATGGAACACAGTGAATTTGAATTTCCTGGCCTAGCAGTTAAGAGTTTTATGCAACTGTGAAAAAAGTTCAAGTCTTTACCCAAGACTATTGAGCCATCACTGTTAGGGTTTATCTCATTTTCCATAACTAGGGGCGATAAGGAGTAATGACGGTTGGTGGTCCTTTGCAGACACCCTTCAGCTATTCAACAATATTTTTTTTCACAGTTTTGTTTCCTAATTATACTACTGGGCGAAAAGAAGCATCGTGGGATTTAGGTGTTTTGTCCAAGAAGACAACACAGTACCCAACCAAGGACTCAACTCCTGACCTCTCAATCCAACGACCATCTACTAACCAAATAAGCCACCACATCTCCCTCACTGCAGTTGTTAAGCTGTTCACTAATTCAATAGCTTTGTCTCTGCAGAGGTTCTATGAGTCATCTCTTGATCGATGCAAACAAGAGAGCCAAGCTGATGAAAGTTACTACAATGCGATCTCTGTCACAACAACGTATAACTTGTCCCGCCTCCACGAGTCTTTGTGTGAGTTTGACAAAGCTGAGGCTCTGTACAAGAACATCCTCAGGGAACATCCTAACTATGTGGATTGTAAGTAGATTGGTGATTTTAATCTTCAACTCTGAAAAGTGATCAGAATGTTACTTCTCCTTGCAACATCTGTACACTGTTAAGTAGGTAGGCATTGAGAATTGAAAGAATTACTGGAAGAGGGACAATTGTTTTAAAATAGATGTGTTACACCAAAATCTTAGAACTGACGTAGAATAATACAAAGTGCAGTATATTCCCATCATGGTTGAGCAATATGTTTCCCCAGTGTTTCTCGTTAAAGGATGCAATTCACATCAAAATGAAGCGTTGGTATGTTAACTGTAACCTTAGAGGGGGCCTGAAATCCTTGAATCATTTACCAGGTTTTGCTATATTATCTTTTCTTGCTCTTTGTTCACATTTCATATTCAAGGTTTAATTTGCTCATTTGAATTGGCTTCGAGCATTTCAAAAAGCCCTGTAATTATATACACGAGAAAATTACGCGCTTCTGATTGGCTAAAATCAAGTGCATTTTTCATGTAACACGAGTGCAAAGTTGTAACACGAGTGCAAATTAAAGTTGTGTAGAAAAAAAAAATTAATCGCCGAAATTCCTTTGTTTTTCCGTCTCGACCGGTTTGAAACTCGACTTGAACGGCTCGGAACACGACTCGACTCGAGCCTCTATCCTCGAGGTTTTCGAGATTCGAGGAAAGTTGATTAAGTTTTGAGGGAGCATCAATCACATTTGAGTAGTAGTGTAGTTTGCGAAGTTCAGGGTTCGACACTGACGGCAACCAACTAGCCACAGACCAGTAGAAATTCAGTTTTGGCCAGTGGTTTTCGATTTCCACAGGCCAGTTTAGTCAGTTTGGTCAGTAGACAAACTGAAATTGTTGTAACATCTTATTTGTCACCACATGGCTAGTAAGTTGAAAAGTTAGTGTCGAGCCGTGGAAGTTGCCCAAAAAACAATTTTTGTTCTCTTTTTTTTTTGTTGGCAGGTTATCTCAGGTTAGGTTGCATGGCACGTGACAGAGGTCAAATTTACGAGGCTTCTGATTGGTTCAAAGAGGCTCTCCAGATTAATCAGGTAAGCACACGTGTCATCAGACATACTGATATTCAGACTTAACGTTTTTCACATTGTGCACGTAACACCAAAAATAGTTGTCCAAAAAAACTCATATATTCATTTCCATTGCTTCAATGTGCACCTTACAGGACCACCCAGACGCCTGGTCCCTTATCGGTAATCTTCACCTGGCCAAGCAAGAATGGGGCCCTGGTCAAAAGAAGTTTGAGCGTATTCTTAAACAGCCATCCACAGCAAATGATGCATACTCGTTGTTTGCGCTCGGAAATGTATGGCTTCAGACTCTGCACACACCCACGCGCGATAAGGCCAAGGAAAAGAGACATCAGGACAGGGCACTGGCTCTTTACAAGCAGGTGTTGAGAAATGATGCTAGGAATCTGTATGCAGCCAACGGCATCGGTGAGTTATTTGCCAGTTCCCTATATCTACAATGACATCTGTATTAGATATTGAAATAAATTTATAGCGACAATAGAGAACAGCGTCAGTGTTTATTTCTTCGCTAATCTTAACTTGTTTAACTCGTTTTTCAGGCTGTATTCTGGCACACAAGAGCTTTCTGAGGGAAGCACGGGATGTCTTTTCGCAGGTAAAAAGCACTACAACGGCTCTTGTTTATTTCAAAATTATTATTTTTTGTTATAAGCGTGAGAGGTGCAAGCAAATACAAGTATGTCTGTCAGTTTGTCTGTTGAGCAACTTTATTTTATGACGATTTCAAAATGCATTTCAGGTTCGTGAAGCAACCGCCGACATCCCCGATGTGTGGCTGAACCTGGCGCATATTTATGTTGAGCAAAAGCAGTATGTGGCTGCCATTCAGATGGTGAGAATTGCACTCAAATTGCTTTCACAAATTTCATTAATGATTGTAAAGAACGCCTGGAGTTAATTGTGCCAACCGTGGCAAGAACTTGCATCTGAGTCCAGGAACGGGAAACGTGAAACATGGGGCCTGTCCTAAGGTCGGGAAAACAAGAAACAAACAGCCTGTGCCAGGCTGCGAATTCACATTATTTGAAATATCTGAGGCACCTCTCCTTTCTTATTTCCTTGGCTGATTTTCAAACATTGCCATTATTTGAAATATCTGAGGCACCTCTCCTTTCTAATTTCCTCGGCTGATTTTCAAACATTGATAGTATCTAAGAGAGAAAGTGAGATTTGCCTGATCAATGCCTACTTTGCCTTTTTTTCTTTACCCTATTTTCTTTTTCCTTTCCTGCTTTTTGCTTTTTTCTTTTTCCACATTTGCGTTTTCCTTTTTTCTTTTTTCATATTTTCTTTTTGATTTTTTCCATGCAAACTTATCTGAAAGCAGGTGTAGATGTAGAGTGCAGGAAAATAAGGAAGCAAAGTAAAATACTTCTTCCTTTGGATATACTTTAGTCAGGAGGTAATATGTTCTGTGTTCTGTTGTATACAGTACGAAAATTGTCTGCGGAAGTTTTTCAAACATCATAATGTTGAGGTGTTGTTGTACCTGGCTCGTGCCTACTTCAAAGCAGGAAAACTAAAAGAATGCAAGCAGATTTTACTCAAGGTACGTTATTTTGTTGCTGACAGTCTACTGTTTCCCTTCATGCAAACTTTTTGCTTTACTCTTAGAACCACGCGATACTCAAGACAAATGGGTCTACCTTTATTAATTGTATAGGAGACTTGCTTAGATCCGTTTGTTTGAAGCTACATATAGTTTCGGTACTTTTTTTTCTTGCGCTACTTATCTTTAGTCTGTAAACAAAATTCTCTTTTGTAACCAGTCCATCGAAAAACACGAACTAGTACTTTCACTTGGTATTTAGATTCAATTACGGTAAGTGATTTTTAACATGCACCATTAACACATTTACACATGTACGTTGCATGTAATTCACTCAGTTTATTTAAATCACTGCTAATAAGTAAGACTTAAGCTAAAATGATCAATTCAATCTCAGAGAAAAGCTATGAATAGAAAAGCCAAGTAATTTATTGAAAAAGATGATGTAAAAGTCACTTGTGTCAAGAGCCACCTAGAATAGAAAGAGACAGGTGATACACGGTATATGTGGTGGTGTAGAATTCGAGGGAGTTGGGGCGGCTAGTTAAATCTTGACTGTTTACTGTACAGTGAGGATTGCTGTGTGCAGGACTCCTAACACCTTTAGTCCGATGAAACCTATTTGATCTGTGTGACTACTCCTAACACCATATTCTGATGAAACCTGGGTGGTCTGTGTGACTACTCCTAACACCATATTCTGATGAAACCTGGGTGGTCTGTGTGACTACTCCTAACACCATATTCTGATGAA